AAGGAACCACATTTATAGTCTTTAGAAGCTTCCTAAAATGTAAAGACAGCTGAATCAGCAAGTACATCAGCCCTTTTTTTACTTAATATCAGATGCGTGAAAACGCAATTCGACATAATGTGCTTTCAGACATAATGTACATTTACCGTTATTTTTTTAAAATTAAAATGAAGAGATATTTCCTCCCCGTTCGTAAATAGACACTGGCTTTTATTGTAACTTAATTTACATTTTATTGACTATTTACTGCACGTTAGGTACTTACCGCGTATCTAAACAACAAATTATTAATCCAACAATCTCCGTGAGTAAAGACACTATATTCATCAGATTTTGTAGCATTTCTTATGGATTCTCTAAATTTATCGATAAACTTTACAGTTCTTTCCATTAAAGTTTTATCTAATGAATCTAGACATTCCAGAGCTGTTTTTTTTTCGGATTCACCGAAACCAATCAGTTCCTCATCAGTATAGGTATCATAATAATGACCTTTGCATTTATCTTTTAAATCGGAAAAGATTTGTGGACTTCGATCTTTCAGAACAAAGGAAAGTGCGTGGAATTTGGCATACTGTCTGATTACCAAAACGACATGGTGAAAATCCAACAAATTTTTCCTATCTACCGTTTTGTATCCCAACTCATTCATGTTCTGTAAAATGATTACTTCATCTAAATTGTCTAAATTATAATAGTAGAATTTGGGATACGATTCGAAAAAGTGCTGAATCCCAATATCTTGCTGAAGTGTTTCGAAGGCAGGGAATATGTTTCTGTAAATTTGTACTTCTCTTTCATACGCCGTCTCTATTTTCGAAGTTTGACGATAACTCTTGTTATTAAACGCACTTTTTACAATCCAATTGAACTTTAGCTGGTTCCCTTTGATATCTTTCGCGATAGCCCGAACTTTAGCTACCGATCCCATGTAGTTTTCACCGCGACTGCTTCCGGAATTTATTTCTAATGATTCCGCATCCAGGGATAAATGTTTGAGAAGTTTCTCGACGTGTTTTTTGATGGGCTCTTTGTCGATTTGTCTCCCTTCTGCCAATGCCATTTCAACCTTGCACTTGCACTTACTGCCCTTGTAAAATACAGCGACAAACAATTTTCTAACGCATTCAAGGTTGTTTGTCAGTTTATAATTATTGCATTGCACCATCACTCCCACCTTGTATCTCATATCATACATCTCTAGGCTTATCTAATGCATTTGCGTATTTGTGCAATTGCAAAAACGCAATTTTCCGCGTGTCTACAAGGAAATTGCGTACGCACAAACCGAATTCTGGCTATGCAATTTAAATCAGTTTTCAAAGACAAGATGCTTTGATTGGTACAAAAATATGATCAAACAAGAGAGTTATTAAGATTTCTCCAAAATGTTCAGTACCTAAAGCTGCAACAGTCGATTTTACTTTTTTTATATAAGAAAATAAAATTACAGTGTCTATTTGTAATCGAGTTCTTTTCAGACTTGAACTAAACTGTTAACTGTAACTTAAGGGTGCTCGTTTTTGGATGTTTTTTTTTTGAAAATTTGTTACTAAATATGTCAAACAATTTAAATACACTAACGTGTAGAAACCGACTTCAAGACTTCAACCAAGAAGTCCACAGATTCAAGTAAGACCACTCTTGAGATGCATACTATGAGAAAAATTGAACGAAGCTGACGAGATTGGATAATTGACCCCCAATCTTTCACCCTTACAGTTCGAAAATTTTATTAAAATTTAAATGGTATCCCCCTTAAGATATAGCATCACTATATAGTATAAAACAAAGTCGCTTCCCGCTGTCTGTCCCTATGTATGCTTAGATCTTCAAAACTACGCAACGGATTTTAATGAGTTTTTTTTTAATAGATAGAGTGATTCAAGAGGAAGGTTTATATGTATAATACATGCATAANGTACCAAATCCCGTATCCTTTTTTGAAGCAAATCCAGATTTTTTGGTTCATAATTAAACATTTTGATAATTTCTTCAACACTAGTCGCTATTGAGAAGTCTGGAGCCTCTTCGTCATCACTCACCATTAATTTTACCACTATCAGAGTTATGTATAATCCAAAACACATGTAATCCTTCAAGTGTTTGCTGTACACATCCAACGGATAAAGTTTTTCTGGATCACTCCCTAACTTTTTAATAGATTTCGATAAACACGAATAGTATTCTTCAAGTATAAAATCGTAATGTTTAATTCGGAAATCGGAATCTGTATTTGCCATAATAAAATACGAAATGTCTAAGACAGGCGATGCTACGCTAGATATTTGAAAATCTAGGAAACAAACGTCTGTAGGATTATCTGGATTTTGAGGGTTCTGAAATTGAAAAAAAAAAAAGAAAGTAAAACAGTTTTACGTACATGCGAATTTCTGTATTTTGTTTGACGCCAAAGAAACGAAGATTTTATGAATTTAATCCCCATGTTTGTATAGGGTAAAATTTACTTGGATTTAATTTAATTAAGAAGTTTTTTTGGTCGTATTTTGACGTAAAAAATCAATCAAACCCGAGAACTTTAAAATTCACGTCAGACTTCTTGCTGTTGAAAGCACAATTTAGTCGCATTTAGGTCAGAGTATTGTGAAGGGAGTTTTTTATTCTACGAAGTACCAAAAATGGCCCCTTTTTCATCTAATTAAGACGAAGACTACCTAAAAATATTTGCAATGACATATCGGTATGCAAATGTGTATTATTTCCCTTAATTTTTAAACTTAAGTAAAGGAACCACATTTATAGTCTTTAGAAGCTTCCTAAAATGTAAAGACAGCTGAATCAGCAAGTACATCAGCCCTTTTTTTACTTAATATCAGATGCGTGAAAACGCAATTCGACATAATGTGCTTTCAGACATAATGTACATTTACCGTTATTTTTTTAAAATTAAAATGAAGAGATATTTCCTCCCCGTTCGTAAATAGACACTGGCTTTTATTGTAACTTAATTTACATTTTATTGACTATTTACTGCACGTTAGGTACTTACCGCGTATCTAAACAACAAATTATTAATCCAACAATCTCCGTGAGTAAAGACACTATATTCATCAGATTTTGTAGCATTTCTTATGGATTCTCTAAATTTATCGATAAACTTTACAGTTCTTTCCATTAAAGTTTTATCTAACGAATCTAGACATTCCAGAGCTGTTTTTTTTTCGGATTCACCGAAACCAATCAGTTCCTCATCAGTATAGGTATCATAATAATGACCTTTGCATTTATCTTTTAAATCAGAAAAGATTTGTGGACTTCGATCTTTCAGAACAAAGGAAAGTGCGTGGAATTTGGCATACTGTCTGATTACCAAAACGACATGGTGAAAATCCAACAAATTTTTCCTATCTACCGTTTTGTATCCCAACTCATTCATGTTCTGTAAAATGATTACTTCATCTAAATTGTCTAAATTATAATAGTAGAATTTGGGATACGATTCGAAAAAGTGCTGAATCCCAATATCTTGCTGAAGTGTTTCGAAGGCAGGGAATATGTTTTTGTAAATTTGTACTTCTCTTTCATACGCCGTCTCTATTTTCGAAGTTTGACGATAACTCTTGTTATTAAACGCACTTTTTACAATCCAATTGAACTTTAGCTGGTTCCCTTTGATATCTTTCGCGATAGCCCGAACTTTAGCTACCGATCCCATGTAGTTTTCACCGCGACTGCTTCCGGAATTTATTTCTAATGATTCCGCATCCAGGGATAAATGTTTGAGAAGTTTCTCGACGTGTTTTTTGATGGGCTCTTTGTCGATTTGTCTCCCTTCTGCCAATGCCATTTCAACCTTGCACTTGCACTTACTGCCCTTGTAAAATACAGCGACAAACAATTTTCTAACGCATTCAAGGTTGTTTGTCAGTTTATAATTATTGCATTGCACCATCACTCCCACCTTGTATCTCATATCATACATCTCTAGGCTTATCTAATGCATTTGCGTATTTGTGCAATTGCAAAAACGCAATTTTCCGCGTGTCTACAAGGAAATTGCGTACGCACAAACCGAATTCTGGCTATGCAATTTAAATCAGTTTTCAAAGACAAGATGCTTTGATTGGTACAAAAATATGATCAAACAAGAGAGTTATTAAGATTTCTCCAAAATGTTCAGTACCTAAAGCTGCAACAGTCGATTTTATTTTTTTTATATAAGAAAATAAAATTACAGTGTCTATTTGTAATCGAGTTCTTTTCAGACTTGAACTAAACTGTTAACTGTAACTTAAGGGTGCTCGTTTTTGGATGTTTTTTTTTTGAAAATTTGTTACTAAATATGTCAAACAATTTAAATACACTAACGTGTAGAAACCGACTTCNATGCGGCATATATCAAGTTAAAGATCTCAACATGCTACGTTCATTAAAAAAGAGTGCGGGGCGACAGGCCACACGGCTCATGCTTGTGTGACTTGTATTTTTCAAATTTTTACTATTACGAGAACATTGTTGACTGATAATTGTCTCACTTGTACATTATTAGCAGCAATTCAACTTATTAAACTATTCCCGCATGTAATTTGTATTAAAAATTCAAATACTGATAAATGCCTCAAAAAGATAAGTAAATGCAAATACAAATTTGTAAAGATAACGAGTTACATTTTTTGAAATACATATTTTATCATTCCATTTCTTTTTGTCTTGTGCACATGAACGTTTGGTTTTTGTCTTTTGAAAATTTTTACAATACCTAAATATAAATAATTTAAATAACACTAATTTAGTGTTAGCAAACAACAAATTCTGTCCCTAAAATGGTTATTTCAAGCATTAGAAAACGGTATAAACCAGTTAATACGGATTTTTCAAGGAAATTTATTCATTTATATAACTTACAACAAAAATTATATTTATTTTGTGCGCCACCGCCATACATTTTATTGTAGATAAATTTTCGCCTTTTTGTCGGTTATTACTACAAATACCCTGCTTTACTACAATCAAGTAATATATCTCTCATTCTTTTTTTGAATTTATCAGAATGATTACAAGAAAAAGCGTCAGTTAAATTATCTATTGTAACTACTTGATAAAGATCCGGAAAATCTTCTTTATCAGTTAGTAACAACTTGAGTCCAATGGCCGAAAAAAACAATCCATAGGCCATGTATTCGTCCAGTTGTTTTCGAAATACATTAACAGAATAAAGTTTGTCTGGATTGCTACCCAGACTCTTTATAGATCTCGACAAGGACGCGTAATATTCTTTTAATAAATAAACGCAGTGTTTTTTACGAAAATCGCAATCTGTGTTACCCAGTATAAAGTACGAAACATCCGCAATGGGTGACGAAAAACTAGACATTTGAAAATCAATGAGACAGACATCTGTAGGACTATTTGGCTTTTTTGGATTCTGAAACAGAAGAAAAATTTTCCGTTTGTTTTCGTCATTATTTTTAAAGAGTTACTAAAAAATTTTGATTAATTTTAGTTTTTGGACAGGCCGGGTTAACCTTGTTTCGTTCAGGAAAAATTAGTTAGTATTCGGGAACATTCTCGAACTTTCTAGAAAATTCTAAAACATTCAAGAACCTTGTGGATGTAATGTAGGACATTCTGACGAGACGTCGAAACTCAGTTAGTACCTTTACCAACTGTCTGTATGGAGTCCTTTGGGGAGATAATCTTTTAACCCCCAACATCTTTGAAAACAACCCAAGCATAGGCGGGGGATGAAAGCTATAATACCGTCATATAACCCTCATGGCTCATTGATAGGTTAAATAATCATTTTCATACAATCGACCTCAAACTTCTATTAAATGTCCCCTTATATTGATTTCATGATTACGTTACCTTAAGTTACCGTTGATGGATTAACACGTTGTCAAGAATTTGAAATTAATAAATAAGAATTACGATTTGAAGAACTAATAATTTCATAATTAAAAATGATAATAATGGTTGGTTGATGTATAAAACCGTATTCCCTTACCTCGTATTTAAAGAGCAAATTATTAGTCCAGCAGTCGCCGTGTGTATAAACGGCATATTCGTCATTGTAAATGTCTCGTATCATTTTTTTCGACTTTTCGATGAATTTTTCAAATTTTTTAATCAAAGCCTTATCTTCATCCGGATTTAAACATCCCATGATCGATTTTCTTTTAACACCGAGGAAATGATCCAGTTGATCATCGCCGAAACTCGAGAAATAGTTTCCTTTTGATTGATTCTTCAACTCCAAAAACTTTTCAGGTTTCTGATCTTTTAATGCAAAAGACAAAGCGTGCAATTTCCCATATTCTCTGATCACGATAAGGGCATGTTCCACGTTCAAAGGGTTATTACATTTAGGCAGTTCGTAGCCACGTTCTTTCATATTTTCTAAGATTAAAGTTTCGTTTAAATGCTCCGAGCAGTCGTAGTAACATTTGGGATATGATTGGAATCGATTTGAAATGCCTAATTCCTTCTGGAACTCATTGAAAGCAGGAAAAATTAATTTGTAGGCTTCTATTTCTCTTTCGTAGCAATCTTCCATCATTGAAAGTATACGAAAGTTTTCGAACGTTGGCGCGGTCTTCACAATCCAATTGAAACTTTTCTTGGTCCCATTGCTGTCTTTTGCTACCACAACTGCATTCGTTATGAACCCATTGAAATTATTTACTACTTCGCGTGTTAATTCCAATGATTCGACCTTTAAAGAAAGGTCGTCGAGTAAATTTTCCACATGTTGCCGGACAATTTCTTCGTTTTCTTTATTTGTATCATCTACGCTTGATGCCATTTTACTTTGTATTTTGTAAAGTTGCAATGGAATTTAAAAGCTATTTATACATTTTTCTAATCATTTTACAATGCCGTTTCTGTGTTTAATAATTATTACTTATTGTTTAAAATATCGGCTTATCTAATGCAATGTTTAACAACAAGAATTTCGGTGTTAAGTATAACTTTTTGTTCGTATTTTGTGTAGTCGTCAACAACCGTGAACTGTTTAGAAAATTACTGGACATTTTTAAAAGCTCATTAATCTAATTTATCGGAATAATTAGTATAATTACTTTTTTTCGAGTACATTTTTCTTAGATAAATAAAACTCGCTATGGGACTGAATTTGATATTCTGCACCTTAAGTCCGCAATCGGAGATAAGGGAGAGATAAGATATTTATTTATATAAAGTAAGAGCATACCTATTGTCTAACTAAACATTTGAACTATTAAATAAATATGAAGATAACGTAAAAAATCAGATTCAGGAAATTAAAACATAAAAGCAATCACAAGCAAGTAAAACCCATTCCTGTATCTATCAACTGTTGTGGCTCGCAACTTCATCCGCGTGGAATTAGATTATAAATCCTCATTTTACAGTTTTAAGAGTTGAATTTTAAAAAGTCTCTCATCTCCGTTGTATAAGGAACCTTAGTGCAAAATTTCAAATCTTCGATCTCAAGGGTTTGAGTTATTCGTTAATATATCGGTCGATCAGTTTATCCTGATGATGATGATGTTGCAATTACAAATATTTATTTCTTTTCAAGTTTTTTTATTAAAAGTACGTTACATATATAAATAAATTTTTAATGGCTTTATATAATCCAAGATAAAAGATTTATATACTTAATAGTAATTCGGAAGCAGTGTACCACATATCAAATAGGTCTCGATATTTTACATTCATTAAAGAAGAGTACAGGACGACTGGCTGCACGGCTCACACCTATGTGTTTGTAACGCGCGCCATAAGAATACATTCATTTCGCAACTATCTTATATGTATATGGTTGTAAGTCGTAAGTGGTGATATTTGTAAGCAAAAAGACAGCCTTGGTATTATTAAGTGATAAAAATAAATAATAAAACAAGTTTTGCGTTGGTTCGAACTTTATTTGGTATAGCACAACATGTTTATCCAAACAACAACATAAATGAATGTCAAATTTCATCATTCAGTTGAGTAAATTCCCGAATAAACAAAGTACATAACTACAGTCAGTCGAAAAAGTCCTAACAAAATTGTATAACACAATTCATCAAAAAATATCTCGTTCTATCCACACTATTTTTTAGCAAATTACGGTCCTCAATTAACCATGAAATTACCAATTATAATAATCATTATTATTATTAAATATAAGTCCACGATCTACATCATTAATTAATTAAATTGAGTCTCGTGCACACATTCGCGCCCTTTTTCCAAATTTTACCATTAACAATTCCAAAAACAAAAACCTTAATTCGAATCTGAATCGACCCCCACTTTTTTCCTCATATTCATGCGTGCTTTTTTCACTCTCTTTTTAAATTGTTCGTATGGATACTGACCATCTTCTGAACTATGACCATTACGATAAGACCGACTCGAACATGGAACATTATTCTTCGAAACCGCATACCCTGAACCACTAGAACATGCACCTGTTGCAAATCCACTATCGGGAGTTCCCAGATTTCTAGGATTATTCACTCTGTTCTTTTTTACAGGTGTATAATCGTAATCACATTCACTACTATCACTACTATCTTCACATACGTACGAATCCAAATAAAAATCGTCCTCATTACTTTCCTTTCTCCTTCTGGCAGTTCCGGTGGACCGCTGGCGTTCCTGATGGATGTCGGCAGTACCATTGGTCATATCCAAAGAATTGAGACACAAATCGTGTGTTCCATTGAGAGGTGTTGGCAATATATTGACGAAATTCTCTTCGGAATTCGCGGGACTTTCGAGGCAGTGATTTGAGGTGACGTCTTCGTCTGAGTCCTGTTCAATTACACGAAAAACGGAATTACTTGAACCTGTTATCCCTGTACTGGTACTAGGAACATCGATGCAACTATTTGACGAATCAGTGTCATAAAACTTTTTATAGTTTTGACGTGTTCGAGGCCTTTTTGATCTCGTACTCCATCTCTCGTCTCCACCTCTGTGGTTTTCTAATTTATGTTTACGAGTTTCTCGTTCCGTAGTGACAACGCAATTGTCTGAAAATGTACTTTTCGCAGTACCAGATTTCGAACTCGTTTTTTTCCGAAGGTTTCCATTACTTTTCGCGTGACCTTTTGACTTACTCGAATGTTTTCGTTTCCTTCGTTTTTGTTTAGTGTTGTTCCTAACAATTAAACTAACGTTTAAAAATTAGCACTGGACTAAATAAAAAAAAACATAAATTTACCTGTTCACTAGACTCGGCGATTTGTAGTGCGCCATTTTCGCCAGACGTTCTTTATTTTGAGCTATTAACTGCGCTATTCTATTAGGTTTTTGCTTCCGGTTATTCTCATCAACTGCCTTTCTATTATATATCAGTCTTTGCCAAGAAGAACGTAACTGAATCTACAACACAAATTATTCTACTAACAAATATATTTATAGCAAGTAACCCATTAACGAGCAGAGGAAAAAACATGTCAAAATAGCCTTAACGATGTAGTTATCGAAAAAAAAAATTAAATATTGCTCCAATAAGTTCACCACAATCTACAGTTATTTTCATAGATGGTGGTATTCCAGTTATATTAGAAGTTGGCACCAACATCACTATTTTAAGCGAAGCCGATAATTTTTTCTCGTTTTTGAATTTTTCCTTGAAATGGGGTCTAAATTTATTTTATATTTTTGAAAATAACCAAGTGACTACTCACTAATGTTTAATATCAATTACATATTACCTGAGCATCATCATCACTATCGCTTTCTGTAGTTATCGACAAATCGATTGGGGATTCCCAGCCCTCAATTTCTCTTTGAATAAGAGAATCAAAGAAAGCCATCATCCTGGAATCTTCCTGAGTTGATTGATCACTATAATCATGTGATATCCTCTAAAATACAGAATACATCAAAAAATTAAATCTCTTTTTTTATTTTTGAATAAATCATTAAAACTTCACCTGTCCACTGTGTCCTACAAGATAAATATAATCGTCATGAGAATATACAGATCGTGGCGTGTCCGTATGCTCTTTTAAAAGCGAACCTTCCCACTGTCCTACGGGAAGAGTGCTCCACAACTAGAAACAGAGGCACTATTCAATCACTAATTGGTTCATAATTAAGAAATTGATATACCTTAACCATTTTTTCCACACCTGACGATGCAATCAAGCTGTTATGTCGGTTGTAACGGACCTGGTTCACGATGGATCGGTGTCCCCGAAGCACCAAATGGGACGGGCCCCATTCCGAGTCGTCCTGGGGCACTCTCCACATATATAAGTTAAAATCATCAGAACCACTGAGGACATATTCATCATCCTGGCCAGCAAAACAGCACGTCTTCATAGTGCATGAATTGTAATATTGTGGATGATAAAATTGGCATATGGCGCTTTCGCGATCAGTGGCGTACAAAACGGGAGGTAAACGACGTCGGAGAGCGAGAAGACGAGAGCCAGATCCATTGAAACAGACACTTATACCACTTACATCACCAGCATAGGAATCGTAATGGATTAATGATCTAAAAAAAGAGATTTACCGTTTTTACATCGATGAAGGGATTTTTTCAAATAATAAAGTTGTTTGAAAGGTAACAATTTGTTTGGATAACAAAATAATAAGAAATACTTAACAGTGAATCATGCACATTAATGAGTAACAGAAACATTTAAAAATTCATTATTATGAATAATGCTATAGAAAAGAAAACATTGCTATATTTAACAAACATATTTAGTGTTGCCACTACACTGTAAAGCAGCACGATGTAGATACATATAAAGAAAAAGTAAAAAACTCAAAGAACTTACTCTTTAGGTTTTCGAGTATCCCATAATGCAATACCTTCTTCAGAATTGGCACTAGCTAAGAGTCTAGGATTGACGGGATGAAACATCACAGAATGGAAACCAGTCTTTTGCTTTGCAACACAAAACGGATCTGAAAAGTTGAATATAAACCAATTTAATTCGGTATAAGAAAACAACGTCATCAATTCACAAATTATCTTCATACCAGCATTATTGGTGCTAGATTCTCTCGTATCAAAAATTAAAATACGTCCGTCATCTCCAGCGGTTGAAACTATAAAATCGTTCTGTGGATTTACACTTAAACCATATACAGGCTTTTTATGTAAAAGTTTTAAATGAAACTGACCCCTGTTAAACAAGCAAGAAAAGCAAAACTTCAAATAAATTCAATTCATTTTTGTAATTGTAAATAAAACTTACGTATTAGAATCATGTATAATAACTTGATCATCATTTCCACCCGAGAAAATCTTCGAATTAGTGGAATCGAACGACAAACAAAAAATGTTACTAATATGCGTGGTCTGCATGGCCACTGGGGCCCCTTTTCCATGAACTGCGTCGAGCATGCACCATAATAAAACACGTCTATCATCACCACCTTAAAAAATGTATTAAAATTTATTATTAACTGTAAGGTTTATGATTCTGGGTTTGTACTGGGTTTGCTGCCAACGTTTCCTCCTGAGTCACAATTATTCTGTTTCAGATTACTAATCAACATCAACAGTCATGAAGATGTCCCTTCTGATTCAGGACGAAACGTCGAGAACCAATATAACATGGTGCAAGATAAAATTACTAAAAGTTGATCATATTCTATGCAATTATTGAAACATCGTTTCTCTATATAATTATCATAAAAGTAATTTTAATTATCCATGTTCACGTAGGTCTTGAGTGGCCCTGGTATATGTATTATGTTTTTTTTATGAACTGTGCTGGTATGTACAAGTTAACTCGAAAACGTTCCATGAATACTGTCACTTGAACATTGTAATTCCAACATGGAAAACGATTATTTTTACAAATATAATATGTTATTGTAGCAATTATCTTTTCAATGGTCATGTAATTTAGCTAATAATCAACTTAAAATGAGAGAATTCCTTATAAATAAAATCAGAAAAGGGGACAAATACGTATATACACATACATAAAAATAATCGATTAAATTCGACTATCAATTTTATATAATTATATATTCCAGAAAACTAATTCATTTACATCATATGTTAACGATTTATTAAAACAAAAAAAAATTAAGTAAGCAAAATTTTACTCTCTTTCAACTGATATTAATAAATACTTAAGCTGTTATAAAACTTGGTACAATTTTACATGAAGTAATTAAAATCCATAAATAAGAAAATTGCATTTTACTCACCCGAAATTAAAAGCTCCCCTTCAACCGAAAATTCTATGGCATTTACACACCCATAATGGGCTAGAAGATCTTTTCTATACAAGTTCTTGGCACAGGAGAGGCGTTCTTTAAACAAGTTTTTTTTTATTACGAATGAGCCATCCAATTGTCTATTTATGATATACCCCAAAGGATTTATAGACGATGGCTTCGCCATCATCACAAACCCTTAATATTAAAGAAAATCCACCAACACTTTCTTTAAACAGAAATGTTTACTGATTATCACACAAACGTCAACGAGCTGTATGTCATGCTCGACGATCAGCTGTCTTTTTACTATTACAAATTATGAAGTTCATCGAATCTATTACTTGTCACTCGTAATCGTAAACCTAATTTTTAACATTTATTCGTTTCTCTTTAAAATACTTATTACTATTTAGTTTTCTTTTAATTTTATGAACTAATTGCAACATTANTAATACGAAGAGATAATCACGTAGTAGGGAAGAAGGTGATAGGAGCGCTTTTCGTATAATTCGACCATAATTAGACTTTGTGTTTTGCTTGATTCACTTTGTTATTGACGTTATGTATACACACAACTCGGCTAAGTTTAAATTAAAAGACAACAACTAATAATTATACTGATAAATTAATTAAAAATTAAGTGAGAAATCTTTTATAAAAGTGTATTAATCCGACATTGAATTGAAAAAATTTCCTTTTCGTAAATTATGTGTGTTTTTCATATTTAAAGTTGTTAGATCAGATTTTTTGTTAACATTAGTTTTTCTTTTTGTCTCGCCCTCAGTGTTAGTGGGGGCGCGCGCTGAAAGCATAAACGCCTCTTGCGGCAAGCGCCGAAACTTGCAAATGAAAATGGCGGTTTCGTCGAAGACGTGTGCATTTGTTTCTGAGGTTTTCGTTAGGACACTTCCAGATAAGGGCATACAGTGACTTATCAGAGTGAAAAGTGTATGTGAAAAAAGGGCATAACGCGAAAAAAAATTAAAATGTGCAACAATTCTAAGGCAGAAACTGCAGATTTAAAATCAGTTGGTACGCTTCCAGAAGATGACGTCGACCAACGCAGTGATGCGCACGCATCACCCCCTACCGAAGTCGCGACGAAGAATGACGACGAAATTCCGCCGAAAAAAAGGAAAACTCGACGCGGGAAAAACAAACGACGACATCCGTACGATAGGAAGGCCACCAAAGTTATTAAACCGGAGGCTCCTTATAATAGCAACAGATTCCTGATAGAAGACCACGGTAACATCGAAGAATTAGATGAGAAACTCAAAAAAGGAGACGCCTTGGTTCGTACCCGAGATTCCAGCTTTAGTATGGACTCTGATGGTGAATTTTATTCATCTCCAGACGACGAAGAAGAATTCCTTATTAGAGATTTCGATGACCAATACGAAATACTTCAGGCTGAAAGATTGAATAATATGTCCAAGACCGACCTAATTGCAGAATACTTACAACTTGAAAAAAAGGTGGAAATTCTTAGTAAACGTGCTAAAGGTAAATCCGCGAGTTCTTTGGAACAGGATGTTAAAAGTGTCGATGTTTCAAACGAAATAGACCTAAAAGTTCAAATTGACCGACTACGTTTGGAAAATGAAACACTCAAGCAAGAGCTGCTGAGGTTAAAAGGCAAGCTATCAATAAATATGTCAGACTCTGAAGATTCGGAATCTGATAGCAGTGTTTCCTGCAGCTCTTGTAGTAGCAGTGACTCCAGTATGGCTAATAAAAGCAGATCTTCAACGCCTGTTCAAAATGGTAATGCAGATTACACCAAAATGAATGGACTATCCCCTACTGTACCAGCTTAATCCAGTGTTCATAGTATACAGTTATTTATAAAATTTGATAGTTAAGAACATAAGTTTAGGGCTGTTGTTCTAATTAGTGGATTTCTAAGTATTGAGCTGAACAAGCAATTAAATTTGTAAACTTATAAAATTGGAAAATTATAATGCTGTATTTATTTGTGTTAACATTAAATCTATTTTTAAGATAATTGTTAATTGCCAATACTAAGAAACCCACAAATAATGTGTTTTATACTTTCTATATTGGAAAGCACGTGTTGTTCATCTAATCTATTGTTGTAAATAGCAGTAGCTATATCTTCAGTTACAGTTGTAGAAATTGTGAACTCACCCTTTTTTTAATTACCCTGTATTTATATGCTTTATGTAATTTCAGATTTTTAAGGCATTTCAAGAACTAAAATATATGCATCAGTAATACTAAATGTGTTCATATTATTTTTTATTGGGCAGACTGTAATCTGTTAATTATAAAATCTTATCTATTTATAAATCAATTCAGATGCATATACTTTAGAACAGGTATTAGTAGATTAAACATAGTTGAACCAAAATATATAGATCTATGTTTTTAATAAATTATCATTAATTTAGTAATACTAGTTTCATTTGAAATTGTAGTTAACAAAGTAAGAAGTATCGTTATTAAAGAAAATCCACCAACACTTNTTCAGAAAACATAAAAGTCTTTAAGACAATCATTAAACATAAATCTAAATTTTTATATAATATTTATACTAGACCACGCACATTCAACATTTTCCTTCCATTGAGGTGGTTGTTCAGCATATATCTCCTTTTTCCAGATAGGGACTGACTTTTTTACATTATCAATGCAAAATTCTGTAGCTTTCAGAGCTTCTGTTCGGTGAGGTGATGATATTCCTATTACAATACTGGCTTCTTTTATAGGAACAGTTCCCAATCTGTAAAATATATTATTTATTTTGTAAACCATATTCTTAAAAAATATCTATTTTATAATTACCTATGATAAATAGCAATATTTTCTACAGCAGGCCACTTTTTTCTAGCATCATTACAAATTTCTTGTAAAACTTTCAAAGCCATACTTCGATACGCTTCATATTCCAAGTTTAAAACAGTTTTACCTTCAAAATTATCCCTAGTAGTGCCAACAAATAAGGATATTGCTCCACATGAAGAAGATGAAACAAGATCAGTTATTTTATCTGTGGAGAGCTTATCATACGTAAGCTGCAGGTGATCCATGATGAAATTTATCCTCCACTCAATGGAGGTATTACTGCAATTCTGTCTTTTTCAGTAAGTTGAAGTATGGTGTTTTCTAAAGGTATTTCCTCATTCAAAGCAATTTTTATAACATGACGGATATCTTTAAGTAAAAACTGCTCTACAATTTTGTCTAGTAGTTGATTATATGAGAGACTTTTTGGTAAAGTTATTACGGCTTCACTTTTACCTACAATTTCACGAGCTTTAGCGAAAAAGAGGACTTTCACATCTAAACTCATTCTAGTAACTGAGACATCCTTGATATTTAACACCTTTTTTACTAAACAATTATCTAATCAATTGTTACATCTTGGATAACCTTCGACTTTTATTTTTAACAGAGTGCAACACATACCCAATTGTTATAAATAATTGCTACTGTAAACAACAAGTTGTTAATCAACTATTTATTTAAAATACAATTATCCCAGGTTATAGGTTAAGTTGCAAGGTCCATTGTGATGATAAGAATAATGAGTAGGATTCTATCTTTAGTGGGTTTCATAATTGCAGTAGTTATTCACCAGAGGCCTCTGAAAGGATGTAGATCGTAATTGATTTTTATTTCGAATGCCGCGCCGGGAATTACAAAGCATCTAAAAGATGTTGATCCCAAAATATAATCAACATATCCCATTTTTTTTTGTCATTCAAATTAAACTGTTTAATTCAATGTATTGAAAGAAAATGTATAAACGATTAACTGTAATAAAATTGATTAAATACTCTGTCGTTTCTACGGAAACCATTTAAACAATCAAAATGGATAATCTTTTAAAGCCGCAGATAATTTGTCATTTAGAAGAAACCGTGAAATATTGTATAAATGATGTAAAATGGATTCCCTCTTCTGCAAAATTTGTTGTGATGGGGGGAAAATCAAATGGTGCAGGAATTATCGAAGTGTATTCACTAGGTAACAAAGGCGTTGAAAAAATAAGCGAGATTGAGAAGAAAGAGCATTTTAAGTGTGGCACTTTTGATGCTTCTAATCTAAGAGACCGATTTTTAGCCACAGGTGATCTTGCCGGAAGATTGCAAGTTTGGTAAGTATACAATATTAAAAAAAAGAAAACACATGAACACAACGTTACAAAAAGCTTATTAACTATCCACAGTAATTAATCAAACGTTTATTTTTACTTTATAGGGATTTGGAGGAATGTCTTGTACCTATTTACAAAACGACTAAACATACTGGAGTAATAAATTCTATTGATGGTATTGCTGGTGTTCAAACTGGTTGCGGAGCACCGGAAATTGTGACTGGATCCAGAGACGGTATTACTAATTAAACTATCAACCGAGTATTGCGTTTACTTATCATAATTTTTATACACAATTTATTTGTTAATTAGGATTGGTAATGGTATGGGACGTTCGTCAAAAGGACGATCCCGTTGCAACTTTTCGGCCAGTTGATGGAACCATGACGAGAGACTGTTGGTCAGTGGCTTTCGGACACAGTTTCAACTCTGAGGAAAGGATTATTTGCGCCGGTTATGATAACGGTGATATTAAGATGTACGATTTAAGGAATATGTCAGTAAGATGGTCCAAATGCATTAAAAACGGAGTAAGTACAACAAAAAGCTTTAAAGAGTGAAGTTCGGGATTCTGGGGTGGCGCCAAAAGTCCTTTATTATGGACGTCTCAGTCTCACGGGACAATTTCATATCTCATTTGAAGGTTTCAAACAGACGATTTAACTTTGTGCAGACTAAAATCTTGAACTTTACTGCATTCGCGGAAACCTACGTCTCTAAAACTTAAAGTATTATAGCTTTGCAGCTTGTAAGTCCTACATAAATTAGGACTGCAATTCAGGTATTACCCATTACTTTACTTCATTTTAAACTCACTGTTTATTTGTATAAATTTATTACGTATTTTACTGCAATACACGAAAAACTTGTTATAGTTTAAACTATTAGCTTTACATGTAATAACACTGATAATATTTTTGTAATGAAATAGAAATGACCCGCTTTTATTTCCATTGACAATATGAATGCTCTTGAAGGTAGTTTCTCTACAATTCGACAGAAAGGACATACCAATGAACAAAGTTGTGGCTACAACTTTGGAATCAAAAATTTACTGTTATGATGTCCGGGTTCAACATCCTCGCAGGGGATTCCCCTGTGTAACAGAGAAAGCCCATGAGTCCACAGTATGGACTGTTAAACATTTACCACAAAACAGGGAAGTTTTTATGACAACTGGAGGTGCAGGGACCGTTTGTCTCTGGAAGTAGTAAGGGCACAAACTTAACTAAATGTATCTCGATTTATTAAATTTTATTTTAGTAATTACCCTGACAAAAGAGTTGAAAAAGATGGAGATGGCATTGAATATGGAGTTCCTGGTGAATTAAGCCTTATTCAGAACAACACAATCTCTTCACAGCCAATTACTTCATTTGATTGGTGCCCAGAAAAGACGGGTCTTGCTGTTTGTTCTTCATTTGATCAAACATTCAGAGTTATTATAGTTACAAAACTGAAATCTTACTGATACAATAAAGAACATCATACCATTAATTATGTACTATTTGTTTTTTTTTTTTGAGAAAATGGTCACTGAATGTATAATCAATTTGGTACTACATGTACTTAAATTTATTTTAATAATTTAAAAAATAATAATTGTTTGATCATACAATAATCACAGTAGGTAGAAAATTTAAACAATTTAAAACTTAAGTCCTAAGTCTTGAGGGATCTGTAAATTTTGCAGTAAGAATATAAAATGTAGCAGGCACAGGAATTAAAATAATAAGAAATCCATTCAAGGAAGTGTCTGTTAATTGTGTAATTGAAATAATTCCATATGTGTGCAAACACCAATGTCCCACAAGAATAACAAAATTTCGAAGATCAAGAAAAGTTGAAAGTATAAGTGCAGTAATTCTTTGATCCATTTTTACCGCAAAATGGGCAGCATTTGATATAACTGACAAAACTACAATAAGATGTGGAAAGGAATAATCTAAAAAATGCAACAATATAAAATCCACTTAAAATATAACATTTGCTAATCTATACTAACACAAAAGACCTCCAATTAATGCCTGTAATACAGCAAGAATTGGAAAAAAGTATAGAGCTGCATATATTGACATTTTGCTTTGTCTTGGTAAACATTTCCGACAGATCCATGGTCTAAATAAAAGCATTATTACCACCGAATATGCATAAAAAACAAGGACAATAGTGTATCTAAAATTATTTCAAGTCAAATGATTTAATTGAATGAAAAAGAAACTTACAAAGGATAAACAGCTTCTTGTGTACAATGTACAGTTTTGTCATAATTAGGTTTAGGATTGTGTAATAATGTATACCAGTCAGATAAATGACGAACATTACAGCTACGAATTTGAAATAGTCCAATAGGATCCATCGTTAGTAGTGTAAGAATGCAAGCTAATACTATCTCCAACAGAGCAGAGAAATGAAGAATTAGGACATCCTTGTTGAAACTAAAGACGAATTGAAATATATAAATACACTAGATTGGTTTAAATACTGCACCTTCTCCTCATTGCTACCATATCAATAAAAAACCAATGTAGAACCAGAGGTAATAAAGCCATAAAACCTAAATAAAGCCAATCGTAAAGGGTTGGATTATCATTGCATGGTTCACAAATAAAAGTGGCATCGTTTCGCCGAAATCCTCGAGGGCATGAACCACATTCACTTAGTATTCCACTTTCCAAATACGTACGTCCACAATAAAGTCCTGGACACCGCATTCTGAACAAAAATTATAAATTACAAATTTTATTTAAGTATACAAAGAAAGTACGGTTATGTATCAACATTATTTATTTGTCAAATATGAAGTGTCTATTTATTAAAATGGTGTCATTTTCAGCAATAACGTATTTTCATTGGCTGAGGACTTTACGAGATAAGAACCGATTGGTTGCTGTCAAATCAAAATCGATGGTTTTAAATTCTTAAATTATTTTATTTTGTAAATATACAACAAAAAATTAGCAATTATTAAATGCAAATTAATTCTAAGAATTTAAATAGTATTTTCGTTACATGCCACTTCTAAAAAATGTAATAACTTTGTATTTCATTTGCTCAATTGACTAGGAAGTATCCCCCATCTATTTTCAGCCCTAGGTACTTACGGCATCAGGTCGGATAGTGTGAGAAAATTATCGTGAAAAACGTTTAAACGTAAATAATACGCGAGTTTAAATATCACACACGTGCAAGAAATATATTTTTTAATGTCGTAAATGTTTTGTTTTTGTTTAAATGTTTGTATTAAACTCTACAATGCAGGATTTATGGCGTTGTAACCAGCTGATGGCGGGTGAAAATACTAGACAGTTCGTTGGTTTACCAGTATAGTGCAAGTGAGCAATTGATTTGTGTCTACGAGCTGATATTTACAATTTTAAATCGTTCGTTTTATTGGTATTTTTCGTCCGCTACAAATTTTTGACAAAACGGAAAGTTGAGAATTACCGGGCTGAGTGTTTTGGGCGTTTACGACTTAACTAAAAGACTCAAGAGGCACACCTTGAAGACGACGATTTTAGGAATCCGAATAACAATGTCATTTATGAAATTTTACATTATCGTGCTTTGACAAAGGTTATTGTAATTTCGAAAGGCAGGTCGGGAAATGTACAGAAGTGGTCGGCAATCGAGTGCGATTACAGTGTAAATAATAATAGTGATTGTGGTAAATTTTTTAAAAACCATGTCGACGACTGCGTTCGTCGATAGAATTGACCCCTTCGCAAAACGCTCCCTTAAGAAAAAGACTAAGAAGTCGCAGGGAAGCTCTAGGTATCGTAATTCTCAAGATGTAGAACTGCAGCAGTTACCTCTTTTAAAAGGTAAGTCTGCTAATTCACATGTAAACAACAATTTCATTAACGCAATCGTGGCGCAAATATCTGACGATTTAAATATTAATGTTTTATAGCCTATTGTATATATTCAGAAGCCCGATAAGTTGTCTGTTGTGCCGATTAACCTTTATGACGTCTGTTTGGTTTATTTGCATATATTTCTGTCGCCTATTTCCGCAACCTTTATGCCCACAAATTAATACATACACAGGTGATTTATTAATGTTATGTAATAATGTTGCAAATATGTTGTGTTTTTAAAAATCAACCGCGTTTGTAGTCTTATATCTCTAGTAAGTACCTACACACCAAGCGTTTGGTATGTGTGTAACATGTATGTGTGTTGCGTGTATCAGTGTGTACCTCCTCCAAGATGCCATTTTTGCCTGACGAAAATGAACAAGGTCAAATAATATTTGCTGTTTCATGCGTCTTCGCTAAAAATATTGAATTTACCCGTTCATAATTCCCGAGCATAAGGTGAGCTTATATCAAACGTGTCAAGAAAGTAAAACAAAATTGGTACAGCTGACGATATAGTATTAGGTAGAGAGGATGGATAGATAGACTCCTCCTTCTCAGTTTAAAAAAAGATTTAAAAACCAGTATTCATTCATAAGACATTTAATTACTTATTATTGATATAAACTTATCCAATGAGGGTTATTTTTCATCGTCTGTAATTTGTATAAGTATCGTTACACTTTTACATACATATACATATCATTTAATTAAATACTATTATCTATCGCGAAAAAACTAAAGTTGGGACTACATATATTATCCACTTATGTTGTTTTATTAGTTTCTACCTATAGCGAATTATGCACTTTCGCTTTTATTATTATGATACTAATATAATAAGTGTTCTAACCGTTCATGTTTTGGTAATTGTGCAAATAATGGGATTCTTGCTGGGAGGGGGAGGCATTATATAACACTACAACACTTCTTTTTTTCGTCTCCACGTCTCTGCCTTTTGTCGCTGCGTCATCATCCCTCCTCCTCCTCCCACCCTTCGACTGACGGTTGCCTCATTTATCATGTCAAATTTTCACTTCAACCCCCTACGCCGTCACGTACCTCCCACTTAAAAATACTTGTTTAGTGTTCTACAAGGTCGTTCCCACCCCTCACCCCCTCAAAGCGTGGGTCCCTTGATCTGTAAAATCACCATTTCATAACTTCAACTGCGCCTCCACAACTTCACCCCTACTCAAAACACTTGTTTATTGTTCTATAAGGTCTTCTTTACTCTGACCTGCTTTCTCCCCCATTACTCATCAATTACCCATGTTGTTTTAAGTTGATTTTTAATTAAAATTGTATTTTGTGACTGTGAAATAAACAGCGCTATCGTGTTAATTACAAAAATTATTATCTAAAACGAAAATTTACATATCTACATTAAATTTTATTCAATGTAACATACATAGACGTGCTACCCTATTTATATAAAATGCTACAAAAACCATTAATTTGTAATAATTATGTACTTTTTTTGGACGTGCCTACCTAAATTCTTTATANTTTAGTAATACTAGTTTCATTTGAAATTGTAGTTAACAAAGTAAGAAGTATCGTTAAAAGAAGGGAATAAAAATTCTTCTAATTCATAAATACAGCTTTATTAAAAAGAATTAATCAATAAAAATGAATTTATTGAATATCAAAGCATATCACTATGGAGTTTCAGGCTTATCAGGAACTCTTTTAACTTTATTTTTTGTCTTAGCTTTTGAAGGTGGTGCATTAGGATTAACACCTCTATAAAATTCTTTTAACAGTTCCATAGCTTCTTCTGCTTTGTAACCTCCAAAAATTTTAGTAGTTGGTTTCACTATTGAAGCTACATTTAAGACAGTCTCTCCACCAAATCTAAAATTTTTGCATCCAAATATCACAGTCCTTATACTTAGGTCATATAATGCTGCTACACACATTATGCATGGCTCTACAGTTACAAACACATCAATACCTTTAAACACCTGTTTGTAATCTAATTTCCTATCATTACAATAGTTGATTACTTGATCTATACAGACCATTTCTGCATGACGAGTAGCATTACGAGTTTCATTCACTTCATTTCTTCCTTCGGCTATAATATTTTCATTATAAACAAAAATGCATCCTACCGGAACTTCTAATTTAGCTAAAGCTTCTTTAGCATATTTAAATGCCAATTCCACAAACTTTTTCTGGTATTCTGTTAGTTTCACCTCATTTACAGTTTCATCAATACTATTGCTGTCGGTCATACTTAATTATGTTTGGCTGTTTGGGCACTTTATTTGACTTTATTAACATGATTAACAACTTACTACCTTTAATATAAATTGAAATAAATACATGGCCATAGTGCATGCCATTGTAGGTTAATTTCCGTTAATTTCATAGAAATCTCTAATGTATGAATAATCGACAATTTATCTATAGATAATATGCAGTTCTTAACCATAGACGTTGTTAACATTAACGTTTAATTAATAAATATCGTTGGCAGGTGGCACTACAACTGTAGACGGTAGTAGTCCCTAACTTCACCACCATCAAACCTATTAATAAAAAATAAAGTGCAAATTTCATGTAAGTAACAAAAATATCTTTTAAAGTAATAATACTTTATTTTTAAAAAAGTATAAATACAAAAGTCTTTTATATATAAAAACTTAAGAAGGTAACTTTCATTTATCAAAAGAAAAATTTAAAAGATACAGTTTTACAAAAAGTAATCCATCAAGTTGTTTTCTTTAAGAAAATTTTCAGCTTTTTGCGGCCAGTTTTGATTATTAACAACTCTTGGGCTTGGATGTGGCATAAAATAGATGCTTACATCCTCCAATGTCGATTTTTTTAATACTTGCTGAGCACGTTTTTCAGAAAATCTGCCTATTCCTATAACTTTCTTTACTTGTAGAAGGTTAAATATTTGAAGCAAAGCTTCATCACAAATTTCTTCAATAATCCTCTGTGATGCTTCCTACAAAACAAATTATTTTGGTTAATGTATTACAATTAAAATTCTTTTTAGGAATTTCATAAATTTTGAGACTTACTGGTAATTCTGCTGGTGTTACATTGGTTCCATTATTCTTCATAAAAGCTAATGGGCAATAGTTATAAACAAATGCATTTTCAAAAAACTTTTCAGAAGTTCCACATAATTTTTGAATATATCCCCAAAAACGTTCTCCACTTATTTCAGACCTTGTACAATTAAAACCTGTAATAGTCCTGCTTGGGCATTCTTTTTCAGGTTTCAAAACAGGTTTCTCTATCCCCAAAAAATTCTTCACAGCATTTATTTGTCCAAATGGCACTCCTGTTTGGCACATACCAAATGGTCCAGGATTTATTCCAAGAAACACAATAGGTTTAACTGAATTGCAGTATTTCATAACATATTCTTTATGGGGTTCCCAGGCATACTGTAAAGGGTTGTAAACGTAAGCAACTGGAGAACAGAACTTGAGTCTTTCTAAGGATTTACACATATTTTTTTCTATTTCTAATATTCTTTGTACTAAATCTGTTGTCGTTGAATCAGAAATGGTTGAATGTTGAATCGAAATTGAATTATTTTGAACAATGGGATCCAGCTTAAGCTTTTTTCTTAACATTCTGCTCTTTTCTTGTGTACCAAATTTGAAAATATTCTCGACTGAAAACAACAATCTTAATCTACCCATAATCTAACACTACACTGCATTATTAATAGTATTAACTGTAGATAACATAGGTAGATAATATGGAAAATAACCGCTTTTACTTTTAAAAATAATATTGGATAGTAGACAATAGTAAGTTAGGTTATTGTGGTTACATTATTATATTCTATGCATTATATTTATGGTAGGTCTTCGGCAATTTTCGCATAACACCGTTATTCTTTTTTATCTTTTAAAAAAAAACTTTTTTCTTTGATCTTTAAAAAGCAAAACTATTAAAAAATCTACTTTCAAATGTTTAAAAAAACTTAAAAATTATTTAAGATCTTAATTAACCATTAATTAATTATTCATAAGT